TCTTGCTCCAGTGAGCGCATCTTCCCCTTATAAGGCCGCCTGAAAATAAATTCCCCACCCTAGTGTCTTACGGTATTCGTGATTAAAGGTTTAATGCGTGATTATTGGACAGGTATTGCGTGTTTAATGCGCGGTGAGTGTACAGTATAAAATAAGGCAGGGATAAATAGAGGGGTGCTAAACGGGTGAACGTGTTTACTAACCGCTTACTTACAAATGTTAAGTAGGTTGAATTTTTCATAATCTCCCAATTTTGGGACGCCGGCCGTTGGTCCAGTAGGGCTTGGGTGATGATATTGAATTGTAGAGAGGTCCTCAGAAGGCCACCATATACAATAACCGCTTAAGTCAGTTTATTAAGTAAAATTGCTTTTCAAGTTAACCATGGGAATAACCGCTTACTTAAAAGTTTATTTAGGGAGAATTACCACAATCTTCTACCCTAGTCACTCGTTCACCGTTATTCTAGTTGGGGTTAGCTATATTACTGAAACATGTACCTCAGTGACCTCGCCCGGGATCAGCGAACACCTCCCCCCGACATACAGGCGCTCGCCGTTGATTCAATATGGGTTAGCGATGATATTAAGATGAACTTCAGTATCTCCGCCGAGGTTAGCGTACATTTCCCAACTTACCCGCGTAACTTTTTTTTTAAATTTGCATAACTATTGCGCACTAATTTGTTCCCCCATAAGCCCCACCCCTTCTACCCCCTAACCCCAGGTGCCCGCATTGGAGTGGAGCGTGCTTCGCTCGCACTGTGGGGACATTACTATAAATCCTTACCGAAAATAGATTAAGGCCGCTTCTAATTGTTTTACTTAGGCAAAATCCTAGATATACTGGAAGCCTGCAGACCAGACAAAGTATTAGAGTAACCCTATTGGGTAGTAAAAGAAATATGTAGACCAAGAAAACCACTGGGGCAACCCCTTTCACCAATAGACGGCCTATTAGTTAATGAAAGAAGCCAATTCTAACTTGACGGCCTCACAAGAGAGTCTTACCTACATAAGGCTAGAAAATCTTTACTTTTCATACAAGGAACCTCATAAACACATGTTAAGCCATTCAAATGACACCATGTAGGGTTTATACGAAGGTTGCATACTTCCTAAGATGCGCTACTAGATGGCCAAAAACGAGGTCATATGAATGAAGATTCCGCGGTCTCAAAAACTCTCCTAATAAGAAACATTTGCACCCGTTTTTGTGAAAATATATTAACAGTGATAAGGCCATTTATCAGCCATCTGAGAGGTCATTCTACCTTGTGTGGTTTCGCAGGAAGCAGAACAGAGCTGCATCGAAGGTTTGGCATCCTGTATGTTTAAAACACCGCACGGTAATGTTGCACGATAATTAGTCTTACCAATTTCCTCTGAAGTAGTACTCATTACTCAAAAATGCCCTATATACATGAATTGTACCTTACTTTCATCAAAGCAAAACACACTTTTCCGTTCTCTGAAAAGGTATAGCTAACACTTTTCTGGCTTATATTAAAGTTCTTTATAGTTCTACGCGCCTAAAGTAGACGTTGTTCTCCGCAGGGTTTAATGGTGTGGGAAATTCCTTAGATATCAAGAAACGTTGGACTGAGCCCAAGTTGGCCCACATTTTTTTCTTCAATACACTGATCTAAACTAACCTCTTATCTGGTAGACATTATTTTGCGTCCTAAGTCAATTCAATGAACAAAATAAACAAGCCTAACCGTGTGTTAAACTATAATGAACCAACTCCGAATGCACGCCCAACCTTTGGCTTCTCGCGACTGGCAGTATGCACGCACCAGTATCTGCCTACCCCAATCTGGTCTGGCCAATCACCTCCAAGGCTGTAACGACTGTTACACGCCCCTCACGGGTGCAGACACATGCTCGTCCAATTGTTCATTTCCGACAACCTATTCTCCACTACTTCCCTACAGTACTCATGATTTAAGCAATCTACTGTACGTTTGATTAGGATTTCAGGAGATCTGCCATGGACTGGATCCTATTCCATAGGGGCAGGTCAAAGTTTAGATGCACTTGCCAATGTGGTCTCGAACAGGCCCTTAGCGTTACGTCTGCCAGATGGAGCTTGAGTTCAGAAGCAGCGACGGTCTCCGCCGTGTAAGTAACAAGATATAGTTGTGTCCGTTTTTATAAAAGCGCAATCATCACTCAGTATACAGTAAAGCGAGTGCTTCATGCAACACCGTCAACGTAGTACGACAACCCTTGTAGCTCCCAGAGCATTTACCCCACGGACGCACAATTCATAGTACGTTAGAGAAACAATACATCTCAAAAGGAAAGAATATTTGAATTTATAAGGTATCATTTATTAAGTGAGAACTAATTAGATTTATCGAAAAGTGTGAAATCGAAAAAAAGGGATGTACGACAGGTCAATTATTTAAGTCTTTGTATAAGTGACACCAGAGTAGGAAAAAGAGACAAAAGTACAAAATGCGGGAATTTAATAAATTTGTAACACACTCATATTTCGTGAATTGTCCTTTAGCGTTCAAAGCAGCCGTAATTCTCCTAGTTGTCATGCTCCAGGTCACTCTCTAGATCACTTCTATCTAATAGATTCACAGCGATTTCGAACACATGCGACTGTAGGTGTATTGAATTAAAATATTTGAATATTGCGTATGTAGCAGAATTTAATGAAACCATATATTTCGCGAGCGCTCATCAGCTGAATCCACTTGCTGAATAAACTGAGTAACGAATGAGAAAATATAGAATTGAATTCATACAGAAAAATCGATATTTAAACAGTTCTGTAGAAATTCAATTCGCATGTTTTCTTTCGTTATTCGACATCGTAGTTTCAAAAGTCTTTCCAAAGACTTGATGGTGTCTTTGTCGTAGCAAATAAACTTCTAGGCGAAGTCTAAATAGAGGAAAAATTTACTGGTATAAATTTTGGCCCCTTAAGATTGCGAGAGAGGTTTGCGGTAGATTCTCCTGTCGTGGCATTTGCGACTTCTGTTATGTCCTTCCTGGTTCCCCTCTGTCAAAGGCGAGGGCAAAAGGCCGTTCCATTCCTCGAGTGGCGAATAGCTTTGGCTAAATGGAGACCCAGCAGCGAATCTGGATTGGATAGGTCATTGCACTTGTATTTAGACTGGGGGCCCGTGAACGGTTAAAGAAGTAACTCGCGGCCCACGCGATTATCAACTCTGGCGAGAGGTTCGGCTTCATTAAATTTTACCTGTGTGGCCGAGGCTCCTTGATGGAGCCGCGACTCGAGAAAAGGCGTGAAAAAGGAAGCAGCGGCATCAATCTCAGCTCCTACCAATTCCATGCTTCACATCTCACTAAACACCACCCGGCCACAGCTCTAACTTTACCAGGAAAGGCGAGCTGTATAAATGCATGCACGACAGTTGTTTTGGTATCACGCTTTTTCAGTTAATTTGGTTAAGACAATAGACAAGGCTTTCGAAAACTCTATTGATTGCATGCCGGGACATCATATACATTTGTACACGCACGCGTAAACATTTTCAATATAAAAATAGTATTGGCAAACAGTGAGTACCATTGTTTTTACAAATAACTCTGGATTTTGTGTATTGTAAGTTTGAGTTCATACTGTCGCGGACACATGTAAGCGTTGTTTGGACAGTTGCTCAACGCAGCCCGCTAAGCGCTTATTATGAGTCAGTCCAAAATCCATTTTGACCAAAGGCATCGGAATCGAACCAGCATCTGGATGTTCTCGGTTCTCTCATCGAAAGGAAACATTGCACTTTGATTGTGAATACGGCGGAGGATCGAGACAGCGCTCCAGGCACCAGCCGACGAAACATCGATTTGCTTGCAGCGTCGTAGCCATAGCTGTTATAGGAAGCACTGAATCCATATTGAAGGGGTCTCAGCGTCTGAAATCTGAAGCATGCCATCGGGTCAAAGGAGTGGAAAGTCATTGTCCATACATACGGGTCCAGATGCTTCGACTTTGTACTACCAACCTTTAAAAGCAGTGCGCATGTATCCGATTGGAGGTTGAAGGCTGTGATTCATCAACCACTAGTCCCAGTCTACAATTGTCATTATTCATAACAATAATTACTATTCAGGAAATCAGTTTTGGCGAAAGTACGCTTTCGATTATGCACCATCGGGCCTTCACAGCAATGTAAGGCTGAATAACCCAATATTTTGCTCGCAAAAGCCTCTATCAGGCCCGAAGGTTCGCCTGGCCGAACACTAATGCGGTATATGAGTTCACACTGCCTGCAATTTCACGCTGCAGCGATGAAACACAGAGTGTCGGACACCCCCATTCCCCTTCCCCTCCCCTTTATGAAACCCTGATAGGACCAGACTATAACTCCTGACCCATGATCGCTCTCAACCCTTTCCCCTTTCTATTGGATGGCTAAACATTGTTACTTTACCCCCCCCCTCGTATATTACTATAAAGGCTTGACGATGAAAAACCGAAAACGTAAGTCCGCCAAAATGGACTTCTTAAATGCTTACATGGATAGCGTCGCTGAACTTAACTAATAATTATGTGGATAACAGATGTAATAACAGTAGTAGTAGTAATGTACAGAAGTGTAATGCCCGTTTTCGTAAATTCCTTACTTGGATTACTTTACAAGAAACCAGTCATTCGGGTATGCAAGTTTCACTGCGTCCTGGTGAGACACGGAACGGCGACATGGTTTTGTCCAAACGGCAAAATTAGGTAGGGCATAGTCTCCAATGTGTTTTCCTCTCGACTCTATGATTTAATAGCGAAGATCATGTTTGTATGAAGTTCTGGCGCTCGTATGAATAAAGTGGCAAAATAATTTTATAACCTGTTGATGGAGTTATTTTATTTACGCTTAGATCCTTCAGTGGAGCCTTGAGGTCCTGGTGATACAGTGCACACAGCCCTCGCAGTAGGGTCTGGTCAAACCAGACATGTCCGATGCATCTTGGTTATGCAACAACATTCAGAGAGAAGAATCCGTTGAAATTTTATTTTCGTCCATCATGGAGCCGTTTGGTGCAGATGGGCCAGAAGCTCTGAATCCGTACATCCGAGTCATTATCCAGGCTGCCGCCGCTCTGTTATGCGTTGTGCCAAAAATCAATAATGACTTTGAACCCACACAACGCAGCCCGGTGCCTGGTCTTTTCGCAGGCGGCGAAATGACCATACCGCGGTCGCCACGCCGCTATAGCATTTCGAGGCCTTGGAAAACTTCTCGCCGAACTATCCTCCTTACTCCCAGTTTCCTTTATGAACTACAGGCTTGGTGCAAGGAAAATGTTCGTACTGCTCCTCTGTCAGAAACCCCATTTTCGACAGCTGGCGAGGAGGACTCTTGTGGTATTAAGAACGATCTCACAACGAATGCCTCCGCGGCTACGGATACTCCCGAGGTGGTATCTCCCGCTGTTCGAACGGCCGCCATCTGCTATCCCTTTAAACCCGCTTCCCGCCGAAAGCCGTCGCTAAAAATCACTGGAAAGACACTACGCATTATCGATGACTGTCCTGTCTTAATTTTACAAATGACGAGAATTACCTGCAAACTTCCCACCCTCATCATTGCGCCAGATGGTAAGTCAGACAAAAAGCTCTTCCGACCGATGCTTTTGTCTTTTACCGCATCCACGCTTTAGAGGATGGATTATACTAGAATCGACCGGCATTTAGTCAGCAAACCGGACTTGTGGAAGCGCCAGTAACGTGCATAAGCCATGCGCATAAAGTGATTTGGGATCGCTCATTGAATTTGCCAAGAATAATGAACGGTTCTGACCACAGGTTGGGCCAGGGGTTGGCAACCTTTTTAACTCAGAGAGCCAAAAAAGCAAATATTTGG